CCCTCCCTCCCTCCCTCCCTCGTGGGAAGTGATGAGGGATCCACACTTGGAGTTGGTGGAGAGAGGTAGGAAGATAGCAGAAAAGGGGAAGAGTCCCCTTCCCTTTCCCTGATCCTCACTGCTTGGACAGCAACAGCAGAAACGGCCACCCCTGCCTTTCTGTAAGGGCAGCAATTTTGCTGGCCTTGTTTTTGAATAAGGCAAAAGGGCCATTATGGGGGCAAGAGTTTTCTACACTCCTCCCATCTCAAGGATAGGAGGAAAGCACATTGCATGGGGAAGAACCTAAGGGTAGAAGGGTCTTCAGGCCATCAAGTCTTGTCCCTTGCTCAGTCCAGGAATCCATATGAAAATTAACCTGGTGGATAGCTGTCCAGCTTCTCCATGAACACATCCAGTGAAGGGGAGCCCACCCACTCTCTGCCTAATTTGTTTGTTTATTTATATGATTTATATGACTTTCTATCTTGCTTCTACTATTCTGGGTGGTTAACAGTAATTAAAACCATAATGATCAAACTCCCCAAATCAGATAACGATAACTTCAATAGTAACATTAATTCAAAGCAGTCGAGGTCCTGAAAAAATTTATATCCTTCAACTATACAACCATACAACTGTATAATCAGCTTCAGCTAATATCCCGGCACAACACTTGAGGAAATAACCATGTTCTTAAAGCTTTTTAGAACACCAACAGGGTCAGGGGCCATCCGAATCCTGGATATCAAACTGCTTTTACTGGGAAAAGTTGTTAATCCAGTTAGAACAGCGTGTCGTATGAACTCAGTCAGTGAGATGAGAAAGAGAAAATGACTTGACATATCTAAATTAAGGTTGACTTCTCAAAGCTGGCTTTCTCCAACACATTTCTCAGATGATTTAGTCCTGCCGGCTCTGTTGCTAGTGATAAAATTTCTTCTGCCTACATAATTCTTCAGATGACTCTCCACCAAAGTTTGCAAATATCTGTTTGTGGGCTGCTTGTTCCTTGCTGCTCTGCTTTGAGATCCCCACATGCTCAATTCAGTGACTAATAATGATCCCGCTTAGATAACACTTATCATTTGCTAACTAAATAACCCAATTATTTGCTGACACACACCTCCTCCGCCCCCCACTCCATCCTGATGAGTCATTCACTTCTCCTGAAAGCACCCACCACCAGTAGCAACCACCTCTTGTCACTGTAGTTGCCATCCTTAAGGCTTCCAAGAGAAGTGAAGCCCAGAACAGTTGGCAGAGAATGTGTGCTTTCTGGGTAGGGGCCGAGGCTGGAGGTTGCTTGGTTGATGACAACCTTTACCGTAAAGATACATGAAGGGTTATTCTAATGAAGGTGGCTTGTAGAATTTGGGTTGGCTTTATTTACAGTTTGTGACTTGACTCACTTGCTTGACTCCACTTGGGTTACTTTCCACAGATCAGCATTGCTAATATAATTCTGCAGATCAGCTGCTGTCAGCTGGCAGCTGTTCCCAAATGCCTTAGGAAGCAGCAGAAGATGCAAGAGTACATTTTACTGATAACATGTCCCTTCACCATTCCAGGAATCAGGATGATAGGCTGGAAAAGACATTGTTCTATCCCAACTGACTTGTCTTATGTTGACTGTATATCTGATGAACTTTTGCTTGTTGTTTTATTAAGACTGGAACCAGTGTCCCAGCCATTTAAGGGATAACCTCCATTAGACAGCCTACCTGCCCTTTCCCTAATCTGATCCTGTTTTACTGTCTGTTGACTTCTCTTGGAGGGGAAATCAGTTGTTCATTCAAGGCAAATATCTGAAAATTATGCTGCCCAGCACCTGCTTTGGGAGGTGATCTTGAGGTTGGACATCCTAGGTCTGCCTTATGCAACTATAATGTATGGTGGGTTTCAAAGTTCTACATCAAAGATCTCAAATCTGCTTTTGAGACTATACACATATATTTTACACATTTTGAGACTATAGTTCCCATCCTCAGACACCATAGCTAAATGGTCTAGGAGAACATCATTGGGAGACAACTTGAGGGACTTGCTAAAGGCTGAAAGCTCAAAAGTCTGACTCCCACATTCCCAATGTGATGCATGGGAACAGTAATTGGCCTGCTGAATGTTACTTGGCACCTACCAGGCTCTCTGCCATCTATATGACTACACAGAGCCCAGAATGTAGACATGAAGAAGATGAGCTGCTCCAGAAGCATCCTGTGGAAATGGTTGCCCAAGTTTAACCACCTCAGAACAAACTGGAAGAGGAGTCCAGCTGCATCACACAAACCTATCCTCAGATTTGGAAGCCTTTGTCCCTCAGGCAGTCTCTTCAACATCTGCTCAGAAGAAAAACTTGAATTGTCCCTTATTTCCAGGGATAAATCTTGGCTGAGTTGAGCCTTGTCACAAATTCTTTATGTCCTACTGGGGTTGGCCTACCATTTAAGAGTAAGGTTTATTTTGGATTTCTTGAAAATGCTCTGGTTGTTTTCTCGATTATTTAATTCGCTGCTTATTGTGTGTTTATTCTCAGGGATGGGGGAGAAATATGTGAGGATTTTCTGCCTAGGGTACCAAAATAATTTGGCTGACTTTGGACACTATGTTTTAGGTGCCTGAGGGTGGTGGGAGAAAGGCCTGTTTGGTTCCATGCCTCAGGAAGCAAAATAACTTGAATCCATCTTGGGAGATAATAGAGCCGGCCTTGCACAACATGATGGACTAAGACCTATGTCCCACCTGGTAGGAAGATGCAAAACAGAACTCTGTAGGGGTGTGATGGATGGGAGCTAAAGTGGCCAGAGGGACATTACTCCATTACTAAGAAAGGCCAGGGAGTTGGTTAACTTCCCACCCATCATCATCATCAACATCATCACAACACTGCCCTGGTCAATTATTTGGAGAAAACAACTGACTAGATGGAATTCCTTTAGTTTCTCAAAAAAATGAGGCTGTCTAGATCTAAAATTAACTCTCTTGGATTTACTTAGCTGGATCAGCTGGCCACCTTAGAGTATTTATGTGACATGCTAACCCACCATGTTGACCCAGTTAACTGTGTCACGCGAACAGGGCAAGAGCTTCGAAGAGCTTTTGGAAATTTATGTTGAGGTTCCATAGATAAAACTGGAACAGCAGATCAAAACATTTCTTCCATTCATAATCAAGTCACTTCTGCACATTCTTTATACCGTGAGTGCTCTTGAACACCATTTCAGTGAATCTTCTACAGTATACCATTCTGCCGAATTGTTCTTGAAATTAACTTGTCAGTTTTGGGGGGGAATGACTCTCTTTTTTAATTTTTAATTCATCTGATGCCCTGCAGAAGAACTAAGGGCTACTGCCTTTGACAAATCAAATGTTTGAAGACTAAAAACCTAAGTAGAGCTGGAACTCATGTTCAGCATATCTTTTCAATAACTGGGTTTGTACATTGTGCCAAGCCATGATTATTGTACATTAAAATGTTTTATTCACTAAACTACAGTTGGCTGAATTCAACATACAGAGCCATAAACTGTGGCTTACAAACCACATTAGCTGGGTTCCCCCAATATACTAAACTAAATCTAATAAACAATATTATAGTTTTGTGCAATGTGGCAGTGCTCAAGGCTAGAATAAAGAAAGTAGACACAAAATGTTTATGAGCGAGTCGAAAGTACATATGCTAAGTATGGCTGTCTTAAAATAGTGAGCCCACATTCCTTTTATTTTTTAGAAAAGCAGCTTCTGAAAGAGGTGAAATTTGGCAGACAGGCACAAAAGAAGAGTTTCCCAGGTTCCTTTTCTTACATAAAAAAGATGTAGGAGGCTTTATGACGCATGCTATCCCATAATACATTGTTCATCTTTAAGAATCTGCCAAAAGTCCCCAGTAATGGGGAAGGAAGATCTCCTGAGCAGCAAATGCCTTCATGAGCCTCTGTGCCTCTACCTGATAAATTAAATATTGAGCTTTGGTGGGACTTGAATGTAACTTTTACTGCAGTTGGGCACAGATTGACAATTTCTTGATCAGAACCTGGGTGTATCATAAATGTAGGTAATAAACAATACCTGGGTCCTATCAGTGTGTTTCTATTCAATTCACACTCCTGTATGCATGTTTTTTAAGATCTCAGAAGGAAGCATTCCTAGACTCATTAGTGGGATATCTACAGTACACTAGACTAGGCAAAAATGTGTTTGAAAAGATCATGTTTTAGCCTCATAAGGGAACTCAACCTTGTCTTAACATGTTGTGTTGAACCATGATATTATTTATTGTTTGGGCATAACATGTGAACCCAATCTCCTTGATTCAAATGCCATAGGTAGGCTCCTTTGTTTCTTTCCTGAAAAATCAACTGGAACTTGTATCCATGTGGAAAACATGGCCACATGAATAAACCGTATGTAAGTTACTACATTCTATAGCAACCTTTCAAAAAATCCCATCTTCCCTGGCCCCAGCTCCCCAGAACAACTTCTCGGCTACTGCTTCCCCGAGGCTCTAATATTACCTGCTGATTTTGTCTGAATAACCCCATTGCGTTCCTAGGTCATCAATCATTAATGCATAAGGCCAAGAGGAAGGTCCCTGAGTGGGAAAGGGAGGTGGGCAGGTCATCTTCACAGCTTGGAACTGAAGGAAGATTTCATTTTATGATGATGGATGGGAGCCAAGGAACAGATACAGCCACTTCAGGCCATTAAATGGGATAGACAAGCCAGAGGCCCATTAGCTCTGCCCTGGGTCACCAGTCCAGGAGATTTCCCCAGCTCAACATCACAGAGGAGAGAATGGTGACCACAGAAAGGGCCCCTGGTGGCCACTGCTGAGCCTTCAAGGACTCATGTTGAGGCTCCTGCAAAATCATTGTATGGCAGATAGGGCCACTGCATGTTTCTCTTCAAGATGGTAGAATGGATAGGGGTACTGGCTTCTTCCATTTATATATTATTTGTCTTTTATAAAATAGCCCAAGACTTTCAGTTCAATAACTTATCTACAGTAACTAAATATATAAACTGTCTTCAGTCTTGGGGTCTGTTTTACTTAGGAAAAAGTCTTATTCTCCCAGCTAACTACTGCATCTGTTCTTTGTTGGTTCTTCCAAACCACATAAGCTATTAATTCCTCCTTATTTTGTTCACTGAATAAGCTCACATTTCACCACAGATATCCCAGACTGGCTTTATTTCATCAATATCAGAATAGCTATGTTGGCAGACCCCTGGTTAAATGAACCATGATTCACTCAATTAACCCAATTGCCTGAATTTGAACAACACAGTTGAGCCACAAGCTAACCACACAGGCTGGGATTGCATAGCACTCTAGGCCAAACTGTGGTTGGCTAGTTTTTGTTTCAATGCAGTATGCAAACTCAGCCAATCAGGAAGAGAAATTAGAGCTCTACCTTGTAGTGTGCTGATATACATGGAGTAGTAAACCTATATAAAATTATTTATGAAATTCGTGAGCTTCTACACATTGCAATGGCATTTATGGGTGATTCTGGATTTGTTAGCAAGGGGCTTGCTGCAATCAGGTGGAGGTGTGACTTCAATGTCCTTAGCAACTACTGCCAAAAATTTTTTGTTGTTGTTGTT